TGATGGCAAGATCTTTAAAAATTTTATTAATAATAATTTCTAAACTTAAATGTTTAAAAAACAATTTTTAAAATTTAGAATAAAATAATTTACACAAGAAATGTTGATTTTAACATGTATATCATCACCGATTATGACGTGATATGTCTTTTTAGTCATGTGACATGTGTCCTGTCTCCCCTTAAAGAAGATAAAATAGGGAGAGACTTATCTAGAAAATTAAGGAAAAAGTTCATTCTGACAGCAGATCTTGCGTTATCATTATATCTAACTGTAAGTCTCTCAAAAGCTTGAAAAATAATCAGTATTTTTGGCATTTTATAGGTGTTTGAAAATACTGATAAGTCATTTAGATAGGTGAAAATAAGTTCAAGAAAATATTAATTTTTGGTTTGAATAGCAATGAAATTGTAATTTACGTTATCAGTATATTTCTTTAAGAGAAATGATTTAGATTTTCACAGTTTCTTACCAAAGTAAATTTTTAAAATCCCTTTCTCTTCAGAATTCAAAAACATAAAAATTAAGTCGCACCGAAATTCAGTTTAAAAATCTTAAACGAAAAAGAATAGAATTATTTCAGTTGAAAAATAAGATTAAAGCAAACAACATTCGTTAATTACAAATTAGGAGAAAAACATTTGCACAAAAGCAAAATTTTTGAAATACTTTTTAACACAGACAAAGCTCGTATAAAAAAAATATGAAATTAAACATTCATTTCGGCAAAAAAAGATTTTTTTTTGCGGGGGTCAAATCGACCTAAGAAAATACCGTAAATTACAAAGGAAAATACACTACCTATATTACTTATTGAATATTTTTGTTATCGTGCATGATTAGGTTCTAATATTTTGAAAAAATAATTCTCCAATGTTTTGTTTGTTTAAAAACATCGACTTCTCCCCAAATTAAAAACTTTATTTTTTAATGAAAGTCAGGCTGAATGTGGACGGATTATGTGAGAATAGGTGTGAACATTTCTATTGATATACAGTTTAGAGAATTTTTTTTGGGGGGGGGGGGGGCTAAATTCTTTGAAGTGACAACTATTTCATGTAGTTTAAGTATGTTGCTGAATTGATCATTTATTTTAGAAAACAAAAGTAACAACACAATATTTTGTTTCTCTAGCATTCCCGCACTGTTATTTTTTTTACTTTCCTAGACTTTCATACATTTTAAACTTACATGTATAGTGTAACACATGCATCTACTCTAAATTTCAAATTTCATTCTATCATGAAAAATAAGAATTAAGTGTAGACTGTACAAGCAATTTATTTGTTATATTACAAGTACATCAATTTCTCTTTACCTATACAATTATAATGCAGAGATTTTAATTTTAAAAGAGCTTTACAGATCTTAACCTCTTCACTGCTTTATATTATGTTTCTTTTGTGGAAAAGGTTATCATTATCTTTGAGTAAATTATAATTAATGATACAGTTTTATAAACAAAACATTGTCCTGTTCAATGTAATAATGGTCACAGATTTCACTTCAGATATTTGATTTTCTTTACTTGTTTCTTTGTATACTGAGCAACAAACAGATTGTCATTTGTATCTGTACACAGTCCCCAGGGAAAACGCAGTCCACAGTCTATGTAACGGAGGAACTGTCCATCCTGGTCTATAATGTGGACACAGTTATTGTAATAATCAGCTGTAAGGATGTGACTTTGACTGTCTGTGGTGATTCCTATTGGATTGAATGGTTCGTTCTTTAGAGCAGGAGTACGTCCAGTGTACCTGAATCTCAGTTTCCCGGCCTGATTGACCACCACTACTGCTTTCCCTCCCAAGTCAGACACACAGATATCCAGGTTCCTGTTCTCAGTTATCTATCTTTTAAAGCTATTAAAAGGATAGAGAGGTTTACCTTCATCATCAAACAGAATGGTGTGTTTCTCTGTGGAGCCTGAGTAACAAACAACTTTTGTTTTGCAATCATCATTGTCCATGATAACCAGGAGGTCACCAGAGGAGGTACTACAGACACCACTAGGTCCCCAGTTCTGTAGTCTGATCACCTCCTCTATCTTCTCGTTCTTCATAATGTTCACAGTTCTTTCTACGGTATCAGTATAAACTAGATCTCCACTTTTTGTCACTACTATGTCAGATGGCCACTTCCCTGACTTGGTTGTGATTGACTTGAGTAGTGATCCCTGATTCATGCTGTAGAGTTTCATGGTGCTGTCATTTCCACTTGTCCATATTTCTTCATCACTCAGACAAGCAACATTGTCAAGTTCATACCCAGTGGTGTTTATGGTGGTGACAGTCTCTGGTTCATCAAGCAACTGTTTGACTGGAGGAGAAGATCCAGCTTCTGGTGATTTCTTAGTTGTCTTCATGCTGTAGCCATTTTTTTCTGTTGCTAGAGAACTTGGTGGTAAGGCTCCAAACAATCTACATAGTTCTTCTTGATGAATTTTTCCTGGAATGAATTTGGGTAACAATGGTATGATTTTGTGTGGAAGATTTATGAATCTATGTACACTAGACATGACACTAAATAGTTCTGACAAGTCATTAGTGTCCATTGCAGTTTCCATTAAATTAATTTCTTCCTTGATGTCAGACATTGTCTTGTTAATTTCATCCAGATGTTTCTGTAGAGTTTGTATCTGAGTGGTTTTCATCTCATCAACTTCAGCTTTAAGTTTCTTGACAAGTTTGTCAATTTCTCTGTGCCAATTCTCTCCATGTTTTGTTATGGCTGTTGAGAGATCTCCATATTCCTTTTTTATCTGACTCATCCTGTTTTTTACATCAGAGGCAATGTCCTGGTAGGTTGGACAAATCTTCTCATTTAATTCATTTCTTTCCTTTCTAAACATGTCTTTTTTGTCATCCACAACTTGCAAAACTTTAGATAATTCATGACCTAAATGTTGTTTGGATGCAAGGCACCTGCTGCAAACAGGAATGTCACATTGTTTACAGTACATTTCACATCGTTCTTTGGCATGAGATGAACATCTAGGGTAGATGAGAGTGGATTTCCTGTCCTGAAATTTGACGACCTTGTGATCTTTGGTTTCACCTGTTGAGATGTGTTCTCCCACACAGGCCTTACACAGGTTGACAGGACATGTATCACAGTGCATCTGAACCACAGCGGTCTCACACAGGTCACATCGCATCACGTGCTGGGCACTGGTACGAGGGTCCATGTATTTTGTAACTGAAGCATAACCAGAAGTCTCTATCGAGACTGTAGCTCTACTGGTTTGTACTTATCAAAAACCATTGCACTATTTTCTGTATCTTAGTGTAGTCTACTGTAGAAGGAGTAGCGTTTTAAAGGAATTTCACAGAAAATTCTATTTTTAGTAACCATGGCAACACCGTTCATCGAAATCAAAAACCGATGCACTATTCTATGTATCTTAGTGTAGTCTACTTGTGTTTCAAGTTATATTGAAATCAGACTAAAACTGTAGAAGGAGTAGCGTTTTAAAGGAATTTCACAGAAAATTCTATTTTTAGTAACCATGGCAACACCATTCATCTAAATCAAAAACCGATGCACTATTCTATGCATCTTAGTGTAGTCTACTTGTGTGCCAAGTAATATTGAAATCAGACTAAAACTGTAGAAGGAGTAGCGTTTTAAAGGAATTTCACAGAAAATTCTATTTTTAGTAACCATGTCAACACCGTTCATCTAAATCAAAAACCGATACACTATTCTATGCATCTTAGTGTAGTCTACTTGTTTGCCAAGTTATACTGAAATCAGACTAAACTGTAGAAGGAGTAGCATTTTAAAGGAATTGCACAGAAAATTGTATTTTTAGTAACCATGTCAACACCGTTCATCGAAATCAAAAACTGATGCACTATTCTATGTATCTTAGTGTAGTCTACTTGTTTGCCAAGTTATACTGAAATCAGACCAAAACTGTAGAAGGAGTAGCATTTTTAAGGAATTTCACAGAAAATTCTATTTTTAATAACCATGTCAACACCGTTCATCGAAATCAAAAACGGATGCACTATTCTATGTATCTTAGTGTAATCTACTTGTGTGCCAAGTTATACTGAAATCAGACCAAAACTGTAGAAGTAGCATTTTTAAGGAATTTCACAGAAAATTCTATTTTTAGTAACCATGGCAACACCGTTCACCGAAATCAAAAACCGATGCAATATTCTATGTATCTTAGTGTAGTCTACTTGTGTGCCAAGTTATATTGAAATCAGACCAAAACTGTAGAAGGAGTAGCGTTTTAAAGGAATTTCACAGAAAATTCTATTTTTAGTAACCATGGCAACACCGTTCATCGAAATTAAAAACCAATGCACTATTCTATGTATCTTAGTGTAGTCTACTCGTGTGCCAAGTTATATTGAAATCGAACTTAAACTGTAGGAGTAGTGTTTTTAAGGAATTTCACAGAAAATTCTATTTTTAGTAACCATGGCAACACCGTTCATCGAAATTAAAAACCGATGCACTATTCTATGTATCTTAGTGTAGTCTACTTGTGTGCCAAGTAATATTGAAATCAGACTAAAATTGTAGGAGGAGTAGCGTTTTGAAAAATTGTTTACAGACAGACGGACAGACAGACGGACGGACGCCGGACGCATTACTATCGCATAAGCTCTTCTGGTCTCTGACCAGTAGAGCTAAAAATTCGATGTATTAAGGATTATACATTTATCGACTGAATTTAAAGTCAACATGCATTTGATGGACTCAACATGTAGATAAACAAGCTTTGCAGATAAACATGTTGATAGAAAAATCATCATATTACATATACATGGTTCATTGACTCTATGTGGGAAGGAAATTTTGTTTCCTTTAGTTAAAGATTGTAATACTGAATTTTTAAATACATTTAGAATCATACCTCAGAAAACTTTTAATTAAATTCCTTACCAGACTTCAGTAATGGCGGCTGTCTTGTTGATTGTCTCTACGCACTATGATCACATGACATACTTGTGTTCATGACACATCTGTGTTATCTTAGGCTAATAAGTTATCTACCTGTCAGGTGTTTATACTTCCTGGTCCAGATAGGCATTTAAATACCTAAACATGTTCAACAACACTCTTTGAAAATACCATGAGATTTATTGTCCCCCCACTTTTGCAAAAGCGGGGGACAGGAACTAACATCTATTTTATAGTTCATATGATTTTTAGCTCTTCTTGTCAGAGACCAGAAGAGTTCCATCTGTTTGTCTGTCTATTAACAATTCCTAGAGTTTTGGCTTGATCTTGATACAATTTGGCAAACAAGAAGATTACACTGAGATACATAATTGCCCCTCTCTTTCACAAAAGCGGAGGGACATTAAATCTCATTTGTCTGTCCATCTGTCAGTTTGTAAGAAAAACTTTTACCTTGGTAATATCTTTTGAATGAAAAGAGATATGAATTTCACATTACATATCATATTAAGTATGACCTGTGACAAGACCTTTCTAAATGCACTAAGATTTTTCACCCTCTAACCTTGACTTTGGAGTTTGACCTCCTTTTCAAAAATTTATACATTACTCTAAATTGGCCAAAACTTAGAATAAGAAGAGATGTGGCTTTCATACTAAACGTGTTTTACCTGTGACAAGACCTTTCTAAATACACTGTCTTTGATCTTTTATATGTCCTTCACCTTGAAGTTTGATGTACTTCTAAAATCTTTAACCTTGGTCATAACTTTTGATAACATTTGGGGTTTTCGCTTATCACTGATTTTTTCCCCGTGAGTTGGGAGGGTGGGTGGGGAAGGGATAGAGGAGGAGGAGGTATTAGACTGCTCACTCGCCTTACATCGCTGTCCATTGAGCCATTTTTCCTGGATACAGATTCTGTCATTGTTACCGAGACCTGCGTGGTAGGATACAGCCTAGATCCCAGATTTTCAAAGCTCTGCACTACTGTGTCACGTACACTCCCTCCTATAAAAGCAGATCCATGTTGAAAATTGGAGTTCACTCAGATCAAGCTTAGAGTTATTAAAATTCGTGTTTACACTAGTAAAGCCATTGCTTTCTGAGTTGATAAATATATAAGTAGTACTGTATACAGGTTATTTTGGCCCAGTTTTTTTTTTGCAATTTTACATTTGCTAACAATTTTGCCGTTTTAAATTCGCCCAGTCACAGTTCTGTTTAAGAATTAAGAGCCATTCTCTGTAATGACTTGAACTTTTATATAGGAGCTGTGGCACGCATAGTCTCAGAATTTCTCCAAACTCTGTATGATAAAAGTCATTGATACCTTAAACTGAAATCAGGCAAAAATTGGTTGCTATGCTTTATAGTTACCATGGCAACATGTCTTAAAGTTTGAAAAATGGACTTTTTTAGCATGTTTAGAGCCCCATAGTTAACATTTGCGGCAAAGCAAACAATTGGCAATGACTGTTTCCAAAAGTTGAAGGTCAGATTTCTCAAATGCATGATAAACATGTCTGGTAAATCAACTATTACATACGTTACTATGGTAACAAACTATTCAAAAGTAAAAAAAAATATTCATTGAATTTTATAAAGTCATACACGTAAAAATAAAAAGCAATTATAGGATGAAATGTGACAAAATAATAGAAAAAAGAGCCTTGAAACATATACCAAGAACAAAATATGATATTTCATTTTGGTTGGCAATGGTTGCCAAGGTTTTTATACCACAGAGAGCCTTCAAAGTAACACTCTGCATGTTTAAATCTGATCCTATCTTTTAAAAAAGCATATTTCCTCATAACTAATGATCAATCTTTAAAGATGTTGGTGTGCTCCTAGTTTTCCCATTTGAAAAAATTCAGATTAGATTCTTTAAATAGAGCGTTGCTATGGAAATACGCAGAAAATATATGCTTAAAAACCGGAAAATTATATTCTTTCCTTGGATACGTACCCTTAAATGTAGATTCCCAAAACTTTTATGATTGATATTTATTAACAGCTAACCTGACTTTTAATTTTGACTATCATCCAATCTCTAAGTGGATGCAAGAAGTTGTCACACAGGGTTTAATATTGATATAAAGTTCACAAAATCGAACATTTTCCCTTCTTGGTAACCATAGCAACAGTGTTGTTTTCTTCATCAAATTTTATCAACATATGATATTCAACTTCAGTTCTAACAGATAAGTACTATTCAAGCTGAGTCCTTTAATTTGTTTCTTGATTATATGACAATTTAATTCTTAATGCAGCGAAAAATAATTCACTTTTAAGCACTGGTACTTTGTTTCCATGGTAACACTGCAAAGTAGCAATTATACCCAATTTTTCTTATGGTTTTGGTGATGCAAGGTTCTAAAGATGCATATTTGCCAGTCTTGAATTTTCATGTTTTTCCTCAAGACAGTAGCATTAACCCAATCTTAGTTACTGGTTTTGCATGGTTACACTGTGTTACCATGGCAACCATAAAAGTTATTTACAGAATAATATTGCTTATACTTATATACTTAAGGTCAAACATTTTCATTGTTTTTCTTAAGTCGTTTATTGAGTTTGAGCATGTAACACCCACCATTAGTGAATACGGAGTGTTTTTCAGCATATTTCAGCATTTTAAATGTATTCCAAATGTACCCTTGGTTACCACTTACTTAGAGATATATTCTAAACAGTTTCTTTACAGTATAAGTGACATCAAGGTGT